CACACAGTCTGCTCCTCTGACCTCCTGTCTCTCTAGCAGAGGGTCCGGCCTTAGAACTTCCTCGCTTGTGCTCACTTGCAGAAAAGTTTTGTGCCTCTTGGGATCTGTCCCTAGTTTTTCTCTCCTTGTGGCCTAGCGACAGGGTCAGGGACCAGCTTGGGGGTGGGGTGCTTCCCACTCTGCAGCCAGTTCAGCTTCTTTTGATAATTACCAAGATTTTTTTCTAATCGTACATAATAAAAGCCTAATATGCTAAGTGTCCCATCCTTCCACCATTGGAACAGTCCCGATGACGCACACTGACCACCTGGGGGCAGACGCTCTGTCCAGTAGGTTAGCTTGCTGCTGGGATTCGGCTGATCAGGACTGAGTGAGATGGGCCAGACACGCCCTGGAGCCCTCCTGAAGTCCATCCCTGGCCCCCATCATGCACAGTGAGGTCCCTCGGCCTGGCCTGCACCCTCTCACAATCCGGGACCCCTCAGGGGATGTCAGAGAGCCAGTTTCGGCCCCATCCCACAGACCAGGCTGAGGGACCCCATCGGTGCATGAATCTGTGCACCAGGACTCTAATTTTTAATAAAAGATAATTACCAGGGTTTCCCCCCTAATATTTAATAAAAGATAATTACCAAGGTTTTTCCCCCCTAATATTTAATAAAAGATAATTACCAAGGTTTTCTTTTTTCTAATTTTTAATAAAAGATAAAAATGTTTCAAATACTAAAAGCCCCAACATCCCCACATCCCCAACCCCGGCTACTCCCCAAGGTGCCAGTGTGGCTTCCAGACGTGTGGACTTAAACCTTTACAAAGACTAATATAATCCATTTTCAGAGAAGGGTGCCTTGGACCTGTCATTTATAAAAGGATTATCAGGGCCGGGGCGGGGGGGGAGGGGGGGGACACAGAACCTCTGCCCTCCCGAGAGAGGAGATAGTTCCTCTCCCTCCTTAGTGGGGAGTGGAAGCCGCAGAGCCTGGGGGTCCCTGAGTCCAGGGCAGTGTGTGGAGGTTGGGAGGGTAGACACTGCACTTCCAGAACAATCCAGTCCTCCCAGAGACAGCTGGAGAGTGTGTCCTCGTCACCCACAAGCAGCCGCAGGTCCCTGGGTGCGCCTGGGAGGGAGGCATTTCCCTGGGTGGGTGCACTCAGACCCTCCATCCAGAATCCTCGAAAAGTGGTGAAGACCAGGAGGCTGTGAGAGAAGCTGACCTTCTGCCCTCAGGCCCAGCCATTTCCCGCCCCTTGCTAGTTCCTTTTAATCTCCTGCAGGGTATTCCTTGCATCCCACAGTCACCAAGTTGAGATCTTCAGTTTCTCTCCCTGGCATTGCTTTCCCCCCACTCATTCCCGTCTCCTGTAGAATGTAAAGATTTCCCCACACGCAGACAACACTCCAGCCCGGAGCAGCGACTGGCACGTGGATTGCAGTGCCGGGGCGGGAAGTGGATTTACAGGTTAGAGACTTCCTCAGTCACTCGGAATTACTCCGTGGAGTATGTTAAAGTTGCCCAGTGCAACTACCTCCATAAAGTGTATGTGGAATCTTGATCATCCTCTCTTATTATTAAGAGAGGAATATGCTAATTAGCCGTTACACCCTGAGGCCTAACGACCAAGACCAAGCTTCACAACCAGATTACGCATCAGCAGAAGGGTGGGCCAGGGAGCTACAGGAGGGGGCAGGGCAGCAGGGTATGAGGGGAGCATGGGGAGCTACAGGAGGGTGGCAGCGATTTTACAGAGAGAAAGTGAGAGGGATAGAGAGCCAGAAACATCGATGAGCTGCCTCCTGCACACTCCCCACTGGGGATGTGCCCGCAACCAAGGTACATGCTCTTGACCGGAACCAAACCTGGGACCTGTGAGTCTGCAGGCCGACGCTCTATCCACTGAGCCAAACCGGTCAGGGCAGGGCTACTAGTCTTATATAATTTATTGTCCTTAGAAATAGGCACAGGTGCTTTTGTTTCTAACTGTTTGTGAAGACAGACTTAGGAAGCAAATGTATTGCTGGTACATGGAGGTGGTAGCTCCATGTTTAAAGGACAGTATCGCTGAGCAAAGTGGACCTAGATTCCTCCTGTGGCTCTAAGCCCTGCCGATTCTTCGTGTCTGGACCTCGGTGTCTCCATGAAGCATGAGGGTTCTGGACGCTGGGAAGCAGGATGAGGCAGCCCTCAGAGCCGAGCCGGCTGGAGAGCGGGGCCAGGGAAGGATGCACCTGCTTCTTCCCGCCTGAGGACTCGGTGGCCCCCGCACGGGCTTCCTGTTTCTTCGCTTCCCGCGTCATGGAGGGCGTTTCCTTTAGCTGCTAAATGCTGAGAAGGGGCAGTACGCTGCTGATTTATTTCACTGGGTGAGTGAGAGGATAATGTGTGCTAGTAAAAGGCTTTGGAAAACACTAACCGTGCCATGAAGACGCAAAGCAGCCATTCTGTTACGGAGTGTTTGGTCGGAGGTGGCCTATGTTTGTCTGGGGCCAGGTTTATAGAATAAATATTCTTGTAACCTGAGTAAGCGACGCAGAGCAGGACACAGGGGGAGGGGAGGGCTTGCAGGGTTGCTGGGGAGGGGAATGGGTGGGGCGCTTTGCCCAGTATCGTCAGCTCTCCTTTTATTGCTGTTATTGCTTCTGTCATTTTATTATGACAGATCTTGATGATGTTGGCGTTTACTTCACATTCAAAAGGTAAAATGCACTTGGGGGAAAGAGAGCCTTGCTGTGGGTTTGGCCCCAAATAATTCACAGACTTCCAGGTGGGACGAGTACCAGAGCCTCACCAGACGCTCTGACCCTGGCGGGTGGGGATGACCGACCGGGTGCTGGTCTGTTTCTGCCACTCACGTCCCTGGCTGGGGACCAACAGCACCTCCGGGTAGAGCTGCATTTTGGCCAGATCCCGGGAGAGTCCCACGGATCTCAGGCCTGGCTGCACAGAGATGCTCCCAAGGCCTATGGAATTGACCTCTGAGCCCCAGTTGGTGGCTCCGTTGGTTGGAGCATCGCTCTGTACACCAAAAGGTCAGAGGGTCAATTTCGTGGGGCGCATACCTAGGTTCCAGGTTTGATCCTGGTCCGGGTGCCTACAGGAGGCCGCCAGCTGGTGTTTCTCTCTCACATAGGTGAGACGCTAATGCAGGTGCATAAGGGGGTGTGGGTGCTGAGGAGGGTGTGCTGGGGGGGTTGGGTGCTGAGGAGGGTGTGCTGGGGGGTATGGGTGCTGAGGAGGGTGACCTGTGGGAGGTGGGTGCTGAGGAGGGTGTGGTGGGGGGGGTGGGTGCTGAGGAGGGGGTGGATCGCTCTGTACACCAAAAGGTCACAGGGTCAATTTCGTGGGGCGCATACCTAGGTTCCAGGTTTGATCCTGGTCCGGGTGCCTACAGGAGGCCGCCAGCTGGTGTTTCTCTCTCACATAGGTGAGACGCTAATGCAGGTGCATAAGGGGGTGTGGGTGCTGAGGAGGGTGTGCTGGGGGGTGTGGGTGCTGAGGAGGGTGTGCTGTGGATGAGCCAGGCCTCACTCAGAGCAGGAGGGGAGTGGGGTTCGAAGAAAAGATGGAGGGAGCATGAGCGTCTGCTGAAATCAGGCCTCTGGATGCTCAGTGGGGAGAGCGCAGTGGGGAGAGTGCAGTGGGGACACGCAGTGGGGACGCACAGTGGGAGTGTTGGGAAGTGGGGGCCTCGGGTCAGGTGGGGGATGTTCAGGTCCTGTCTGTCCAGAGCCTAGGGAGGGGCTAGGAGACGGGACTTGTGGTGACTGAGGTTTGGGAGCTTAGGGCGTAGGAGGACTCCTTCTGAAGAGCGGCCTGGAGCGGGGAAGTCAGCTCTAACCCAGTCCCCTCCCAGCTCTCAGCATCAGGAAGGCGAGGCAGGGAGTGCCTGGGGCCAGGGACAGAGCGGGCCAAGCCTTCCATCTGCAGTGGGTACAGCCCCCGCGGGACAGGACAGGCCCCAGCACACAGCGCGGTGGCTCCCCCTGCGGGCCTGGGGTGCAGTGAGAAGGTGGCTCCCCCTTTGGGCCTGCGGTCAGTGAGAAGGACTGTCTAATGGTGGCTGGGAAATTGACTGAAAGCAATTCCAGAAAGGACTTCAAACACCCTAGGTAGCGGCAGCACCCGCGGAACCGCACACCCAGTGCATTTGCTGCAGGTGCAGACGGCTGCTTGGGAGAGAGAGTGTCAGACTCAGCGCTCTGAGCAGCTGGTGGGGCCTTCCTCCTGGAGCAGCGGGTCTCAGCCTTCCAACGCTGGGCAGCGCCTGGGAGCTCACACACAGCGCCTGTTCCTTCCCTGAGGTTCCCATTGACCGCTGAGTGTGACACCTGCCACCGGATTTCCAGAAGTTCCCAACAGAACTTCCGTGGCTGGGCCTTGACCTGTGAACCAGGAGGTCGTGGCTCCATTCCCAGTCGGGGCACACGCCCGGGTTGCGGGCTCGATCCCCAGTGTGGGGCGAGCAGTAGGCAGCAGATGAATGATTCTCTCTCATCATGGATGTTTCAGTCTCTCTCTCCCTCTCCCTTTCTCTCTGAATTCAATAAAAATTAAAAAAAACACACACAAAAATAAAGAAAAGATTCTAACTTGCAGCCAAGGTTGAGACCCACTGATGATCTGTAAACGCTGACAGGCCCGGGCTGTGAGGAAGGCCGAGAGGAAAAGTGGATGCAAAGCGCTCAAATAGTGCAGTGCCCGCCGCCCAGACAGTGGTGTCCAGCTGGTACCACTTTTAAAGGGGCAGTTGGAGTCCGATGCCGGGACCTGCAGAGGCAGGCTGCCCGCAGGGGGTCCCACGTGGACCTCGGAGGAGCCACTGTGCGGGAGCAGCTACATTTTACTAAAGCCCCCGACCTTGCTGGGCTCCTGCAAGAGGGACGTGCAGAGAAGTTAAAACTGATGAAAATGTGGA